AAAAAAAAAAAAAAAAAAAAAAACACGGAAAAATACTTGTAGCGGTGAGTGATTGTTTTTGTTTGTTTGTTTGTTTGAAGTTAAGCACAAAGCTGCACAATGGGTTATCTGTGCTCTGCCCACCAGGAGTATCGAAACCCGGTTTCTAGCGTTGTAAGTCCGCAGACATACCGCTATGCCACTGGGGGGCACGACTGATGCAAGCTGAGTGCATTACGCTTACTCACTAGTCCAAATTGGGAATGACTATATTAAGCCCTAGAAGCCTTTAACTTGTTGTTTAGCCCACGTGCGCTTAAGGTTATGCTCGGGTTGAACATTCAGATTAGTTCCATCATCACCAGACGGAACTACTTTTTAAACTTACACAATGAAGCCAAATTAAAAAAAGAAAAAGTAAAATCTATAAAACAACCATTCACTTCAAATATTAGTTGTTTAGATCTGTGAAGTTACATTAAGAACTTAAGCATTTTAGACTAAATTTCAAGTTCTAATGTAATAATTTGTTAACAAACGATTTTAAATTTAAAGAAATTTAGCTTATATGGATACTTTTTGAGTCGGAAAGTAAGTATTTATTTCAAACTTTGACTTAAAAGTTTCCATATAACTCTTCTTTGTATGGTTATGATTCAAGTTACGTTTTATTTCTCTTTTTTTAAGGCTTTAAAGCTTTTCTAGTTGCATCTGATTAAAAATCATTCAGACGACTATAGCGAATGTTTTTTGTGTGTTTTTTTTATAACCATCGAATTAGTACAGTGGTTTTAATCAAGTGAAGTTTGTTTTACGTAAATGACGGTAGGCAAAGAATTTCGTAATTATTTTCTTTGAATTTGACATACATTTTACTGGTAAGTAATACATACAAAATATAATTGAAGAATGGTATGTATTGTATATTTGTATTTTTCAAAATGTTCACACAGACAAAAAAAAACTTGATTCACAGAAATAATGGCTTGTTTGGGTGACTTGTTTTGAATTCGCGCAAAGCAACATGAAGGTTATCTGCACTAGCCGTCCCTAATTTAGCAGTGCTAGACTAGAGGGAAGACGTACTCACCGCCATCTCTTGTACTACTCTTCTACCAACGCCCCCACTGCTGAAATGGCGAGCATGTTAAGAGACGGGAATTCAAGCCTGCAACCCTCAGATTGCGATTCGAGAGCCCTGACCGCCAGGCCATGCCAGGCAGAAATATGGGCGTATTCTTTTGTTGTTTCAAAAGATTACTTTTGAGAATGACATAATTAACTATAAGTTAAATATTTCACTGAAAATTTATTGCCTGTTAGTTTGAAGTCAAGCACAAAGCTACACGATGGGCTATCTGTGCTCTGCCCACCACAGGTATCGAAACCCGGTTTCTAGCGTTGTAAGTTTGCAGACCTACCTGTGTCACTGGAGGCCTGAACGTTGAATAATTCTAAAATGTAACTTTTGATGAGATAAATTATTTTTTTTATACTGAAATGCTCTTTTCGAAATATATTTGGAAGTCAAGTGTATAAAGCCAGAATGATGTTTCTGATCGTATTGAATAAGATAGCCAAACTCTTTGTGAGTGAAATGGATGTACCATTGTTAATGCAATTTGAATGGCTTATAATATATCAAAATTTCAAAGCAGTCTAAATCTTAAAATATTTTCTATGTCTGAATTTTCAAAACTTCCTGTTGCAAAATGATCCTTGTAATGATCAATAATAGTTATTTTTGCTATATTATGGACGTTTCAAATATTAATAATTTCGACTAAGTTATAGATCAAGCTCTTTGATGACTAAGGAACTATTAGTTTGAGAAACTACATGTTTTCTACATTTCTTATGAACCTTCACTTCTGCGTTTCACCCTTCTGTCCAGGCCCGGCTCCAGCTCCCTTCCCTTTTCTTTGGGGGTGGGTGGGTGGGGAGAGCAGTGGATCTTTTCTTGACTTTTCTTAGTGATTTATTAAAAGTGATAATATGTTTTTAAACCGCTAGGGAGAATAAACTAGGGTGGGCCAGTTGAGTGAAATACTGCGCCCCCTGCTTTTGTCTCAATGGGCCTTCTTTGTTTTTGAAACATGTTTTTATTCTGTTTGGATTATATTTTCCTACATTCAATAAACTTGAAATTAATCTCTTACCTTCTGGAATCATCTATAAATTGTAGGATCATTCCTTCCCTCTTCCATTCGATTTTTGGTGGAGGTCGACCTTGAGCTACACAGTTCAATACCACAGGACTACCTTTAACTACAACTGTATCACTGGGTTCCACCACAAAATGGAAGTCCGAGAAGCTAGAAGTATCACCTGTAACAAAAATATAAAATAACACGCCGTATAAGCTTTCAGTTTTACATGTGTGTCTCAATTCTTTTTTTTTTTTTTTTTTTTT